GGTCTGGTTCTATTCAATATCGTCATCAATGATTTAGATAATGGCATACAGAGTACACTTATAAAGTTTGCGGACGATACCAAGCCGGGCGAGGTTGCAAGTGTTTTGGAGGATAGGATTATAATTCAAAATGATCTGGACAAACTGCAGAAATGGTCTGAAATAAATAGGATGAAATTCAATAAGGACAAATGTAAAGTACTCCATTTAGGAAGGAACAATCAGTTGCACACATACAAAATGTGAAATCACTGCCTAGGAAGGAGTACTGCGGATCTGGGGGTCATAGTGGATCACAAGCTAAATATGAGTCAACAGTGCAACGCTGTTGCAAAAAAAAGTAAACATCATTCTAAGATGTATTAGCAGGAGTGTTGTAAACAAGACATGAGAAGTAATTCTTCCGCTCTACTCCGTGCTGATTAGGCCTCATCTAGAGTATTGTGTCCAGTTCTGGGCACCACATTTCAGGAAGGATGTGGACAAACTGGAGAGAGTCCAGAAAAGAGCGACAAAAATTATTAAAGGTTCAGAAAACATGACCTATGAGGGAAGATTGAAAAAATTGGGTTTGTTTGGAAAAGAGAAGACTGAGAGGGGACATGATAACAGTTTTCAAGTATGTAAAAGGTTGTTACAAGAAGGAGGAAGAAAAATTGTTTTTCTTAATCTCTGAGGATAGGACAAGAAGCAATGGCTTAAATTGTAGCAAGGGAGGTTTAGGTTGGACATTAGGAAAAACTTCCTAACAGTCAGGATGGTTAAGCACTGGAATAAATTGCCTAGGGAGGTTGTGGAGTCTCCATCATTGGAGATTTTTAAGAGAAGGTTAGACAAACACCTGTCAGGGATGGACTAGATAATACTTAGCCCTGCCATGAGTGCAGGGGCCTGGACTAGATGACCTTGCAAGGTCCCTTCCAGTTCTATGATTCTATGATGCTTTGGCTCACACGTGGGAAAAAGGGAAGTGTGCTTATCTCCAGGGCACATGTACCCAGAGCTGTGATACTGGACTTTGTTGTGGAGTTTTCCCTCTGCGCCATTTTTGTTTAGTTTACAAACCGGGGAGGGGTTTGGTTGCTGTTTTTGTTTATCCTGATTCATTTGGATGGAGAGCAGTGTCTCAAAGCAGATGCTGACCCCATGCTAACTTTGCATGCCAACAATCCCACGATTGCTCTTGACTTGTTTAGATTCTTCTCTTCCCTACAAATTTCCCATATGTAGAGAAAATTCACTACCGATGATTTCACAGTTTGTCTAACCAATCCCAGTCTCCGTGCCCATTGGGTGGGGTGCAGAACATGAGGTTCCATGAAGAACCCCCTCCTAGCCACGAATCCCAATACGCTTCAGATGTTGTATTTTAAATCAAATGTACCGTTGCCAGGTGCTGCTACAATTTGGCCGATGCTCTTTATTTTTAATTTCTCTCCCTTTACAACGTGGAATTGTTGCTGCCCTGAGAGGCCGTGTGTGTGTGAACTGGCTGGCAATCAACCTCAGCATTTTGGGAGGAAAGAAACCCAGCGCTGGTTTTGAAAAGGTTCCTTTCAGAGCTACTTAATGTGCACAAATGGTTTTGTTTTCATAACTGATGTGGATATGGTTTGTTTTGAGGCTGTTAAACAGAATGGGGATGTCAGCAGAAAGGGCTGCTTTTGTGTTTTAGGGGTTTTGGTTTTTTAATTGGTGCTTTTCTCTGTTGATAGCCCTAATGCTCCTCGGGAGTGAGATTGTGCAGTTAACACCTTTTTATTCACCTTCCTAAGTAACATCTCGTCCGAGAGAGAGGTTTTAAAAAAGAAAAATGATTCTTTCTCTCAAAATACTGGGAACTTTCTAACCACTCTAATGCGTTGCACTTCCCTGGCCCCTGCCTGCCATCCATCCAATGATCTCAAAGGGCTTTACAAAGATTAATGAACTAAACAGCATAATTACCCTGTCATAATACTCACCTACATTGTACCTATTTTACAGATGGGGAAACTGAGACAGGGAGGCCAAGACCAACATTTTCAAAAGTGGTCACTTATTTTGGATAGGTCAGTTTTTGGGAGCCCAACAAGAGGCCGGTTTCCTCAAATGTTGAGTGCATACAGCGCCCATTGGAAGTCAGTGGGCGCTGAGAGTGCTCAAGGTGTCTTGAGTTGAGCTTCTAAAATCAGAGGCCACTTTTGAAAATTTGGCTACAAGTGACGGGCCCAAGTTCCCATAGGGAGCCGGGAATAGACTCTGGATCTCCTGACCTTCTGCTTTAACTGCAAGACCATTTTTCCCTTGGCTGCTGAGCCAAGCAAGCTGCATTGCTATCCTGCTGGCTGCAAACATGACTCTGCTCAGAATTGTTTTCTTTGTACATGTGCATGTAGTGCTATTAATATCAATGAGGGGGACGCATCACATGTATTTTGCAGGAAGTTAACTTGTGCACAAATGCTCACAGTGTTACCGCTACTTGTAAGCTCTTTGGGGCAGGGATCATCTATTTTGGTCAGTGTTTGTGTAGCACCTACTACCACGGGCTCCTTGCCCATGACTACGGCTCCTAGGTACTACAGCTATTCAAAGAATAATACTAATTGCTTGGGGTTTATGAATTGAACTTCCAAATGTCACCAACTTAGTCCCAGCTCAGTTGTTTGAACTGTTGTCCTGCCCTCACTAGTTTGAGTTGACCTTCATGAAAGGAGCACTGTCTAAGATGCTTCTAAGGTCCTTTAAGGAGCAGACCGAGTGGCCGAATAGTCTCGATATACTGCAAGAGGGCAAGGAGAAGATTTATTTGCAGTTGATCGGGGTGAAGATCAGGAGTGATGACCTTTGAACGACACTAATCCCCAAAACCTCGGTTTTGTTTACAGAAAATAAATAGAATTTTAGGAGGAGGGGGGAAATCATGAAACTTAAAAGTAAATAAATACATTAGTTTCAGTGCAAACAGTTTGGATTTTGTGAGAGCTGAATGCTGCAGAATCCAGCTCCTGCATCATGACTAAGATGTGAAATTGACAATAAACAGAGCTGGCCAGTTTCCCCATCCATGCCGAGTGAGGTGCAAAAAGGCAACTCAGTGTCTCTCTCCCCTCTTGTGTATTATTATTGATCATTTGTATTACAGTAGCATCCAGAGGCCCCAAGTGAGATGGGGCCCATTTGTGCTAGGCACTGTACAAACCCATTATAAGAGAGAGCTCCTGCTGTAATGATTCTATAGTCAAAACAGACAGAAAGTTGATGGGAGGGGGAACAGAGGCCCAGGGAGGTGAAGCTACCACTCAGGGTCACACAGCGGGTCAGTGGCAGAGGTAGGAATAGACCATGGAGAACCTGAGTCCCAATCCAGTGTCCTGTCCACTGGGCCATGCTGTCTGTTCCTTGCTCCCTCCTACCTTCCATTAAGCCACCGGACAGGCTTTGCTTGTGGGGCAGTTCTGAGCTCTCAAGCTTTTTCCCCGCTGCTGGTCTGACTAAGTGAAGAGCTAAATTGGGGAGGAGCTGAGGCCACTGCATTCAGCTTGCTTGGCTCCCCAGCCCTCACCTTGCATGGATCCCCTGATTAGAAAAAATGCATCCGTGCGTGGGAGTGGGGTATACAGCTGTTTCCCTTCCACAAACCTCCCTCTGGGACCATGTGTGCAGCTAGTGAGGGGAAGTTAGGAAATCTGGGTTCTGTTCCCTACTCTGACACAATCTATGTTGACAGACGTTGGGCAAGTATTTTAACCTCTGTGCTTCAATTTCTCTATCTGTAACTGGGATAGCACCGCCTGCCACGGGGTGTGTGAGGCTTAGCTAATATGGCTTGGATGCTATAAGAAATGCAAAATATGTTGGGCCAGACAAGAGGCCCCCCCCTGCTCAACACATTCCAGAAAAGCAGGAAAGGTTTCTCTTGGCTGGAGCAACCCTGAAGCTGCATGATCTCAGTAGTCATACAGCCAATGTAAAACCCTGAGGAATGTTAAATCGGATTTTTATCCAGGTCCCTTTATAAATTAGAGGCAAGTTTGGATTAAATCATAGGAAAAACTCCTTGTGGCAAAAGCAAATAGACAAGGGAGTAACTGCCAAGAGAGGTCATTGAGTTATCATCCGTGGGATACATTCAAACGGAGATTAGATAAAGCATAGCACCGGGCCAACTCACAGTCCATAGAGGAAGGTGAATTTTGACCTCTGATGTCCCCAGCAATGACACCCTTCATGCCCATTCAGCTGATAGAATCTCGATTTTCAACACAGTATTGTGGCTTTAGGGGCATCTGAATGAAGGAGGTCAGACCACGTTATGGGATTGCTAGCGTCAAGTATTCAAAAATCATGAGGCAGGCCCCCGACATGAATAATATTGGTTTAAAAAATGAGTTTAAAAAAAATAAATTCTGGCTAATTTTTACTTTTTCTGCTTTTTGAGACTTCGGGGTTTATGTTTTCAAGCTTCTCTCATGAGGGCTGGAATCTTATTTTTATTTTTTTTGTAATGGAAGTGGAGAGTCTCAAGTAATCACATGACTCTCGGAGCTGGAGTCCTTAAGAAAAACACCGACTGTTGCAACACTCACGATAAAATTGCAGGAGATGACAACTGACTTTGACTCCAACAATCCTCTAATGTAGCCAGAGCCCTCTCTTGGCAGAGCCTGTCCGCACTAACCTGGATGCATGCAGCACCATGCCTAAGAGCCGGTTACTTTCACTTTCTGATCCCCAACCGCCTGCAACCCAGTAAGTGGGGTAGCAGCAACTGGTTATGCTGTCGACTTGTACGTCTGATGCTGGGCCACATCAAGGGGAAAGGCCTGCATTTAACCCCGTGAGGGCCAGTGGTCTGTGTGTAGTTGGGTGGGAACAGGATGTTTCATACAGCACTTGTCACACAAAACCTTACGGTGAGGAGTACGTATGGCCACATGGAAGCCGTTACCCTGCAGGGTCGCTCTACATCAGAGTGCTCAGGAGACTGACTAACTTTGGTTTTTGTACCCTTCCAGGCTCCTTGTCAGCAGCACAATGTGGTATCCCAAGCACCATTGTGTGAGACTGAGGTGAACTTAGGAGAAAGAGACCACACCAGCAACAGCCAGGATGACCAAAGCACGACTGTTCCGCCTCTCGGTGGTGCTGGGTTCCGTCTTCATGATCCTGCTGATCATCGTGTACTGGGACAACGTGGGGACGGCTCATTTCTACCTGCACACGTCCTTCTCCAGGCCTCATGCCCTGGGCACTCCGCCCACCGCTGCTCAGGATGAAGACCGCGAAGACTTGTTGGACATGGATGAGTTTTTAGAGAAGCTACTGAGTTCTGGCCTGAGGCAGAATGGTCCCTTGAACAGAAAGATGGAGCAGGCCCCACTTCAAGGCTCCAGCAGGCCTGTCTTGGACAATCTGGAGGAGAATGTGAGAGGCTATGACTGGTCCACCCGCGCTGCCAGAGTGAGCCTGGACCAGGAGAAGCTGCAGGCTGAACGGCGGAGGATGCTGCGGGAGTTCTGTGCCAATTCCAGCTTCGCCTTCCCCGCTAAGGAGCGTTCCTTTGACGACATCCCCAACTACGAGCTGAACCACCTGATCGTGGACGACCGCCACGGCATCATCTACTGCTATGTCCCCAAGGTGGCCTGCACCAACTGGAAGCGGGTGATGATCGTGTTGAGTGAGAGCCTGCTGGATCAGGGTGTCCCCTACCGGGACCCCCTGGACATTCCCCGAGAGCACGTCCACAACTCCAGCACCCACCTGACTTTCAACAAGTTCTGGCGCCGCTACGGGAAGTTCTCCCGCCACCTCATGAAGATCAAGCTGAAGAAATACACCAAGTTCCTCTTTGTACGCGATCCCTTCGTGCGGCTCATCTCTGCCTTCCGCAGCAAGTTTGAGCTGGAGAATGAGGAGTTCTACCGGCGCTTTGCCATACCCATGCTGAAGCTCTACTCCAACCACACCAACCTCCCCACCTCTGTTAGCGAGGCCTTCAGGGCGGGCCTCAAAGTCTCCTTCCCTGACTTCATCCAGTACTTACTGGACCCCCGGACAGAGAAGATGGCCCCTTTCAATGAGCACTGGAGGCAGGTTTACCGCTTGTGCCACCCGTGCCAGATAGACTATGACTTTGTTGGGAAGCTGGAGACCCTCAACGAAGATGCAGCTCATCTGCTGCAGCTTCTCAAGGTGGACAGGCTCCTCCACTTCCCCCCCAGCTACCGGAACAGGACTGCCAGCAGCTGGGAGGAGGACTGGTTTGCCAAAATCCCTCTGGCCTGGAGGCAGCAGCTCTACAAACTTTACGAGGCTGATTTTGTACTCTTTGGCTACCCCAAACCAGAAAATCTGCTTAAAGACTAAAAGCAATTGGAAATTGGAGGAGGGGGAAGGGGGATTACCAAAAATATTTAAAACTTCACAATATCCTCCTCTTAATCTCCCAACCCAGGAAGATAAAATTAAGTATATTTTTTCTACTCATCCCCTTCCAAATTTGCAAGAATCCAGGATACTCCAGCCAGCTGTGCATCACCAGAAGACCCCCCACCCTCCCTTTGCAATCGGAAGACTTCCTCTTTCAGTCTGTCGGCTGTGTCCTTCGGTTGCTTTTTATTAATACTTTTTAAAAATTAATATATTTAAAATATTTAATACAAATTGCGTGTTGTGGTGAAGGGAGAGGTGGAGTAAAAAACAATGCCCCTGCCCCTGTGTGTTGTCTCAGTGCTGTTGTGTGCTGTGGAGGCACTGCTTCTGGGAGTGCCTGGGGTTTACAAAACACTCGAGGCTAAACTCCGAGCTGGTGTGTGCAGGCACTGCCCCATTGATCTTAAGGCACTTGTCCCTGCTTATGCCGAGTCTGGAGGATTCTCTGCACCTTGAGGTCTTTAAACCACAATTTGAGGACTTCAATAACTCAGACATAGGTTAGGGGTTTGTAACAGGAGTGGGTGGGTGAGATTCTGTGGCCTGCGTTGTGCAGGAGGTCAGACTAGATGATCATAATGATCCCTTCTGACCTTAAAGTCTATGAATTTGGCCCCCAGTAGGTTATATTGAGCATGACGTTGCACAGCTGGAGTACAATCAATGACAGGATGGTGCATGGGGACCAGAGCAGGTGACTGGTGAATTGGCAAAGGCAGGTCGGGCAAAGAGAGCGGGTCTGGAAGAGGGGATGGGACACTTGGGGCCCAAGTGTTAAAGACCCTTTCCTGTTTCAGGAAGAAATTCTCCCTGGGCCTGTGTGAGTGTATAGGCATCGGCGGGAGTTTCACCCATAGGAAGTCCAGATCACTTATAAAGCCTTTTTTCCTCAGCGGTAGTGTGGCAGTTCAGTCAAACTGTGTGCATGGTACGGCTGTGTTAACAGCATCCTGTTCTGTGGTAACCGCGTGGGAGTGAGCTGTTATCTCAGATCTGCCATTATTAGTGCTCTGAGGCTCTATTCCTTCGCTCTTTTATGTGGTCGTTTCTACCTGTCCACATGCTTGTGTGCTGAGCTTGCTCCTGGATGAAGCCGTCTGCAGATATCAGCAACTGGGTTTCAGATAAACAAAAAGCAGCTAAACAGAGAACAGCCACCTGGGAGCATCAATCCATCTAAGTCTGGGTGTTTATTTTTAGGGCCAGGCCGCTTGACCCTATCATTGGCCTCTAATTCAACACAGGCAATCTCTAGACATGTGATGCATTCACAGCCCCAAACTCATTAAGAGAACATGGCTGGGATACTTACTGCCAGATGAGTGTTAAAGCAAAGCAGAGAGATGTGTTGCCATTGCTCATGACATGATGTCCTAGTCCCCTGACTCTCTGTTTACACCAAATGATTGATGTAGGTTTAATCATCTGCTTTGATGGACACCGCTGCAGGGAGTGATGGTTGCTTGCCGTGCCAGAGGCATGTGGGCTGTTCCCAAAAGACATTTATGCTTTTAAAAATATTCTAGTCTCTGGCTGAATCTTTCTTTCATCGCTCTTACTAAATAAGGACTTGCCATCCAGCACTCTGGATTGGCTGGTGAACATTTTGTGGGCTGCAGTATTTAACCCTTTCACGGGCCTGTAAGTGATATTGGTAACTTACCTGTTGCTCAGCTCCTCAGATGCTACCACCATGCCTGGCCTCATGATCTTACCTTATTTCTTACCTTTATTTCATTTTCCTTCCAGGGGCGTCTGCAGGCATGGATCTCTCCTTCCGTCTTCTCTGGCTCTCTCCAGCCCTCCTTACATGTTCTTGTGTCCTCCTGTTGCTGCCTCCCAGATGTTCTGCTATTGCCTGCCCTCCCCTCCTTTCTGCTAGATATGCTCCTGGCTCCAGTTCTTGATAAATACTCAGCCACTGCAGTAAACTTGTCACCTGCAAGTGAAAGGTTGAAACCTCGTGGCCAGACTAGAAATGGAGGGTCTGATTCTGATCCTGCCTGTGTAGTTACACGAGTGGGAGACCAGAATCAGGTCCTCGGAGTGTTTTTCAGCCCTCCATTGCACTGGAGTGTTTGAGAGTGAACTGAAAAGGAAGGGATAAAGGGAAGCGAGCGTTTCCAAGCTTTTTTTAAAAAAATAAATCAAGTCTGACTTCATCACTTGTTAATTTTTTCAATCCCCAGCAAATTGCTGTGAAGTTGAAAGATGCTCAAGAATCTCATCTTGTTTAATGAGTAGTAATGGGGGTCTCTTGATGATTCCCAGCTCCTTAATTTCTGGAGGGCGGGGTAGCTAGAGTCGGTCAACCCTGCTTTTTAAAAATACATTTTGGATGTTTTCATCCATCTTCTGGGCAATTATTTTTTTACCCTGGTGAATTTAATGGGTGTCAAATATTTGTGGATATGAGAGGCCGGGAATGTAATGCAGACTTAGTGCTAAACATACCATAGACATCATGTGCCGTATGCATTTCCTCCTATTTCCCCCACACAGTCCACTGGGGTCTCAGCTAAGATCACCAGAGGCATGTTGCTTGATCCAGACAGAGTAGAAATGGGTTGCTAGGCGGTTGCTGTTGCGACTGTTTTCGTTAGTGCAGTGTCATGTTCGATGGCAGTGGGCTGGTTTTGCAATTGGCAGGGAGCTCATGAAACAGTTGCAAACCCCACATTGCTGATGTTCAGCAAGACTTGAATGGCAAACTACTCCACCCTCTCAGAGCCCAGTGGTATTTTCCCAGAGAGATGGGGAGAGGTTCTCCCCTCCACCACAGCCTCTGTGCCCCATTCCAGAGGCACAGCTGGCCAGGGGACATTATCCTTGGTGCTGAGTCATCCCCACACTGCTTCTCTAATCCTCCCTCAAGCCCCGGGTTGGGGGAGGGGGATGCCAGGGGAGTCTCCATAGTGTGGCATGCTAAGGAGATTCTGTACTGCTCCAAGTTATGGAGCAACTCTTGGAAGGCTGCTGCAAATGAGAGCAGCATGAGGCTCTCCAGTTTATGCCGGGGGCCTCATCAGCAGCCCAGAATCAGGAAGACACAAGGGTGGTATGGAGATCCCTTTGCCTCGCCACCCCTGGGCTGTTTATTTTCTGCTGTGCCTGCTGGAGAAAGAATTCCCGTACCTCCCGCTCCATAAGTCTAGGATGTGGCTATGGTTAATTCCATTCTACTGCGTGAAAGCTCCTTGGAGTCGGAAAAGCCAAGTAGCAGGATGACTGTCACAGTTGGGACTGAGGGGGATGTCTACACTAGGCGCAGGAGGCGTGATTCCCATCTCACATAGACATGCTAGACCTCGAGCTAGTGTGCTAAAAATAGTAGTACAGTTGTGGTAGCATGGGGAGCGGTGGCACAGCTAGCCACGCTGAGTACGTATTCATGGGCTTCAGGCACCATTAGCCCATGCTACAGTGGCTACACTACTCTTCTTAACACGCTAGCTCAAGGTGAGCATATCTGATGAGCTGGGAATCAGCCCCCTAGCTTGTAGTGTAGACATAGCCACAGGCCTGTGAGGTGCTGAGCACTGTCGGCACCGCTGGTACCAATGGGAGTTTAGGGTGCTCAGGACCTTACAGAGTAGAGCAATAAAGCTTGAAATTTGACCTTCCGTAGGACATTCATCTGGCAGGAAATGGCCTCCAGTTTCAAAATATCCGTTCATTGCTGCTGTTTTGCCTCTCCCCCTCTGCTGCTGAGAAATTGTGGTTAAAAGGCCAGAGATTCTACGGACAGCGCCAAGAACCTTGGGGTGACACAGCTGTGTTCCCAGAGCCGAGTTATGGACCCTCCTGCTTTGTGAGTGTGGATGTGGGTTTAAGCCACACACTTCTTGGACTGTTCTGATGATGCAAACGGGGGCTGTGGGGAGTACAACCAGGCATGTTAATTTCAGCTCCATTAGAAACCCAGGGAAGCCAGGCCTGGCAAATGGAAAAGGACTGATTGGTAGGGGAAGAAATCTTTTTGAGCACCTGTACTGATACTGTAACCAATAGAGGGGCTAAAACCTTGGCTGACTGCAATGCTTGAGACAGCTGTAATGGCAGTACTAATTTCCTGGGGGATATTGGGTGCCTCCAAGCCACCCCATTCAAATGTATGAGTAAAGTTGGCTTTGTCAGATGCACTCCGTGTCTACAGTAAGGTTTGTCCAGGCTTGATCACCTGCCCAAAGCTGTGCTGCATTTCTAACTGGACTGAGCCTGTGAGTAGATGCATGAACATACCGGGATTTTATAAGGAACAGTCTGACTGAAGAATTCCAAGATGTGTGTGACTGAGACCATACACGGTGTCAGTTTAGCGTCTCAGCTGATGTGTTCCAGGCAACCGTTTTGTAAGTGCAATTGCACACGCCATGATGTACTGTGCACTGCTGCAGCGTAATGTACATAGTCTGATCCTGCATTCCTTACCCATCTAGCGCTCCCATTGAAATCCTTGGAAGGTCTAGATAAGGATGGCAGGGCTAGACCCACGTTTGTAAAGTTGTACAGGCATTTGCCTCACAGATTGTATAATTCCCGGCTATACTACAACCCGCTAAGGGCTTGATGTGTGTATTATGTCTGTATCTCAGTTGGCAGCTGCTTTAACCATTTAAGATTTACCCGGCTGCTTAGTTAGGGGGAGGAGGGCAGAGTAGCCATCTTGATAGCAAAGGACAAACGTGGGGTAGATCTGCCAACAAACATGAGACTGCGAAACACAAGGTTGTGACCGTGCCCTTGAATTCCTTATGGTGGGGTTCAGAATGAGCATCGGCAGGGAAGGGATGCCAGTACTGAAGGGGTGGGGAAGAATGTGTGGGGGGATTCTTCTTGCTTAAGCAGAACCTTTGCCGCAGTTAGCAGAGACGTCTCGTGTCCTGTCGGTATCTCATGCTGCTGAGGTACAAGATAAAACCGGGGAGGGGGTTGTGTGCAGTGACTGGAAAGAGATCATGTGACTAGTCTAAAAGGCTTGTCCACATTATTTCCCCTAGGAAACTCTCCAGCCGAGGATAAAAATGAATGGAGGGTCCTGGGTGGGTGAGGAGAGGGGAGGATCATGCGTATCTGAGAGACCAAAGGGTGAGCGGCGCACTTTTAATTTAACCACAAAGAGCATTAAGTCAATGTGTAAATTAAGGATGCGGTTCCCATTATGGGGGCGTGAGGTTTGTCATCAGAACAGCTTGATGGGATTGGGCACAGTCAGAAGAGAGATTTCTTTGTGTGAGACCTTGCTGGGAGCCACA